CTGGTTGCCTCCGGCGGACGGATGGCTCTATCTCGTCTGCACTCGGCGCGCGCGCTACTTCGAGTTTCTGAACTTGAAGCAGCCGATCATCGAAACGCCAATGCTCTTCGGACCCAAACTTTACGTAGTGAGTCGATTTGGACATCTGTGGAGGATTGACTTGAATTCCAGGAGCATCGATTGGCAGAAAACGTTTGACAAGAAGAAGTTCAATGCGCCTGTCACTGTTTACTAGCTGAGCTCTCTGCAGGTTTAGAGTGCAAAGTACATTGATCACGCTGTTCCCATTTTCGCAGTATTTAATGGCACACGACAGTCGCAGTTTTTCATTTTGACTACTTGCTCTGCCACCCCACTTGTCACCAACTTGAAGAATTTACTTGCAATCTTGTTGCCACCGCCGCCGCCACGGGCGCCCCTTGCAGGTGCTGGTCAAGAATGCTCGGGCCTTCGATTTGCTGTGTTTAAACCAATTGCTAAAGGTTTTAAACAAACCTCTGTGCGCGTACCCATAATATGTACAGGGATCTGCGAGTCCTGGCTACTTGCCTTTGGCCACCATCTCCCTGCTTTAGATGCATTTCTCTCTGTGCAATAATGGCTATGCCTTCACATGCTGTCTTGATCTCTAGAGGCATTTAAAATACTATAGTCCCTGCTCGCTGCTCTCTGAATTCATCGTAACGGAGCAGAGGGCAGCACAGCTGGTAATGCGGCTACGAGTACTACTTTGGCTGCCATCGCCAGGTGTCTCCCCGCGATTTCCTGCTGACGTGTGCACCATGATAGTTATGGTGGGTATCTTGTAAAAAATAAAAATGCACAATGTGGTTTGTTCTGGACCTGACCTGTCCACGCAGTCCTTGCACGGTCACTTCGGAGGTGCAGCGCAAGTGGCAGAAGTCCAACAAAAAAATTTAATTTTGTCCAGTGCCAGCGCCATATCCATGTGCCAAAGAGTAAACTTATCACTCAGCCGAGCAGCGCCTCAAAACTTTCAACAATACCCATCTGTCACTGTACTGAGGCTCTGTATTACCGGTATAAGCGAGGCGATCCCGCAAAGCATGCACTGGACTATCAAAAAAAGACCACATGGATGTACATGACTTTTTTGTACACCTGTTCATCATGCATGCTATGATTGTAATGGCTGATAGTAATACAGTCGACCTACCCTTATAACGATATTTGCGTCACACCAAGAAATATTGTTATAAGGGTAATATTGTTATAGGGGTAACTGTTTCATTTCATACACATACGTCATAATGCATGGATTTTTGTTCATTTTTTTACATTCTCCATAGCATAAAAACTGACATACATGCACATTATGTGCACAGCAAGGTGCCCACTGGTGCCCCATTGCATTTCGTCATGTCCCAACGACTTATCAAGTGAAGCTTGCCCTACCTGGATAGTAGGCTCTACATATTCCCTGCTAGATATTGTTATAAAATGGAAAATGTCGATTGGTCAGCCCATTTTATATCGTTATAGGGGTAATATCGTTATAGCAATATTGTTATAGAGGTAAGGCATTGTATACACAAGTCAATGGAGTGATTTGGTTTGGCAGCAAAATATCGTTATAAGAGTAATATCGTTATAGAGGTTATCGTTATAAGGGTAGGTCGACTGTACATGCACTGACTCTAGCAATATCCTGTACAGCATTCATTACTGATGAAGAACTGCAGAATGAAGAGGCAGTGTGAAGCTGTGGCCGGACATTGGCACTTGGCTCTTGAACTTTGTTGAAGCTGGAGACACGGATAGGGGCCCAGCATTGCAGCAAGACTAACGTATGGTGCGGGTGTTACTTCATCAAGTGAACTGGCACCGTTGCCTTCTCACCAAACCATCCACTTGGCAAGTCTCTCGTACATCTGATGAAGAGAAGAACTAGCAACACAGACGTGAAGTATAGAATCAGACATGGATGTCAGGGCAGTATCGTTGATTCAGGCCCGAGAGCGGCCCAAGGCCGAAGGCCGCGGGCCGCTCGAGGGCCGGAATCAACGATACCTGCCCTGACATCCATGTCTGATTGTGTTTCACACTGCCACCCACGCACGACAGCACAAGTGAAAGCCAGAACGCTCTCCTCAGCAGAACGTGCACGTGCAAGTGCACCTACAACGCACCCGCAGCAGCGCAAACAAAGCCACTGTACTGCACTAATCTGCATAAATCGAACTTGAAATACATCAACTAGAAACACCGAGTGCCTGCCTGCCCAAGTTCTCAAGTCCTTTATGGCACTCGTTGCACAACAATGGCAGAAACTCACAAGCTGAAGTTCCACCTCCGTGCGCTCCGGCTGAAGTTTCGTTCTGAAGTAACTTAGTTTTCATGTCAAGCAAGGTGAAGTTTCAACTCAAGCAAGGTAAAGTTTCATCTCAAGCAAGGTGAAGTTTCAGGTTGGTACGCTCCCGGGCTTTGTTGATTCAGGCCCTCGAGCGGCCCGCGGCCTTCGGCCTTGGGCCGCTCTCGGGCCTGAATCAACAAAGCCTTCGAGCGTACCAACCTGAAACTCAGAAGCTGAATCCTCCACGTCCCCGACCACCACCCCTAGAGGTTTTCTTCCACGTCCCCGACCACCACCCCTAGAGGTTTCTTCCTTTTATACCTTCATGCCGGCGTGTTTCAGTTTTCACCTCCACACGCTCTCGGGACGTGCTGATTGGTCAAGGGCCTGACATGAATGCCACCGCATGTATCAGACATGGACCGGATATCAGGCTTTTTCTTTCTCTCTTTCTCTCTTTCTCTCTTGAGTTGTTCCACCTCGATCAGGTAAGTCTCTCCACGTGCGAGTATACCCATCACGTGATCATTCATGTTTCTCCTACCGTGCCATTCAAGCCCAAGGGCCTGAATGGCAGGGCATGATCAGAGGTTCATGCCCTGCCTGTGAGCGCTCTGATTGGCTCAAACCGTGGCAACGATCACGTGGCAAGTGTGAAGTAGGTAGATCTGGTAGCTGACTGCTACAAAATGCGTCTGCCGTCGTGGCGATTTGTCACGGTCCAAGTCAATGATTTTTAGTACATTTGTAATGATTTTTGTCGCACAAGGATTTAGCCCTCTGTGCAGCACTGCCACTTGCCAGCAGTGTTGGGGGGAGAATCATCCTGGGCAGCTCACGTTCTGCAGTGCTGATGGTGCTGTCCCAGACTCCCAGTGCCAGTGGCAGTGCAGAATGTGACAAGTCAACTTTACTTGACATGATCAGCCTCATGTATGTGTCATAGCCCAGGAGTGAGGGCTTGTAACTTACTGCTGATAGCTACTGTGCGTAGAACGTGGACACACTATGTCTTCCGTAGTTGGAACAGTTATGTACTCTTGATGATAGGTTTGGCTGCTTTCAATAGATGAAGCGCACGACTGTGCACTTGCGGTAGAAAGTGCAATACAATGTAATTATGAATTCGCAATATAGTAGTAGTACGCGAGGTGTGGATGAGTGTGAGTGCACCTACTTGACCACTTGGTTGGCAATGCTTTTAATCAGGTTATTGCAGTCCAGACGCCGGGTCTAGTCTCGCCCCTTTCTAATCCTCTTTCACACTTTGCATATTTAGGTTCTCATGATGACCGCCGCTTCTAGATCACGCAGACCTGTGCGTGTATGTGTGTGCGTGTGCGTGTCCGATCGCCGTTCCGCGCAGA